GGGGACCCCGCGGCTGCAGGCGCAGCTCCAGAGCCCGTGCCGGGCCCTCCCCGTCCTCCGGCCCGCCGGGCTGCTGGAGCAGAAGGGTATGGAGGCTGAAACTCCCGGCGCTGAGTCTGTTTGCTCCGCTGCTGTTGCGCTGGCAAATTCAAAATAATTGGGGTAACCTTTTGTATCTCACCCTTTCTTTAAACAAAAGGTCTTGTGTCTAGTGACCAAACCCAAGCTCCGAGGACGGCGGGGGGGGAGGGCAGGGGAAGGCTCCTGCGTATATGTGCACTTTCTGGTGGCTTTTTTTTTTTTTTTCATCCTCTTATTGACTTTTTTTTTTAATGTGTCCTTGTATACTCACAGCTTTAATCTCAGTGTCTTGGACATGAGTTAAAGAAATATATCACGTTTTCTGGAAAATGTTTTTCGTCTGGGTGTGTTTTGACTTAGGAACCCCCATCCCCACTAATTGTTGGGTTTTGTTGTTAAGACAGCTTTCTTGCTACACAGTGAAAACGCTTTAAAATAGATCCATATGTAGTTGAGGGGAAGAAACATCCACATTAGCAAAACACATTTTGCTCAAGATCTATAGGAAAGGAAAGATGTGTATGCTTTGTGTGCAAATCCTGAGGATTCTGCCTGTTCCAATTTTAGAAGTGCACGGAATGTTAGAGGTCAACAAGTCCTGTTTTATCCACAGCAGAAATTCTTCTAATCGTATTTTTGAGGTGGTTTCATTTTGGGTTGTCTAGTCGGTTGCCTTCTGTCACCCTTAAAACAACTGCATTATGGACTTTGCAAGTTAGGACTTTGGAAACCATCTTTTTTAGATCTTTTCGTACTGCTATTTTAAAAGAAACAACTGTATCAGAAGATGTATATGCTGAAAAATGACTGCATCCGTTGGCCTCATGCCAGTGGCCTCAATTACAGAATATCAAACCTGGGAGCATTTGAGGAAAGGAGAAAAGAGCTACTTACTATGTACGTACTAGCTATCAAGTGCTAAATCAAATAATTCCACCTTTCTGGTAATGGCTAGTAGGTGCTACATCTAAAGACTGATCAGTGATACTTATTCATATTGTTACCTAGGTATTAAGTAACAGGCTTAAGTATTTGTGGCATGAGGATGTGGCTGTGGTATGTGGAGGGAAGTATCTGGAGATGAGAACATTGTTAACTGGGTCTGCTGCAAAGGAATAATGAAGTGGAACCACAGCCTTGGTAACTCCTGAAATGTGGGTCCATCAGTGCTACTGGAACAAGAGACAACCTGGATCCTTGGGTCTAAATTTTTGAGTGTATTTTCATTTGCTGTTGTTAGGTGCAAGCGTATGCAACTAGTTTTGAAATGAGGGACTGGAGCAAGCGTCCCCCATGTCCCCAGTACTACAGTTCTTCAGCTGCAAAATCTTGGCCTATCCCCTTGGTCTTGAGTTTCTTTGTTTGTTTTTTTTTTTTTGTTTGTTTTTTTTTTTTTTTTTTTTTTTTAAAAATTTTTTTTTTCTGTGCTGCTAGTGGTGGAAAGCTAGTGGGAAGAATAATGCAATACCAGGTGGTTAAAGCTGTCCCTCGTTGCAATGAAGTTTGTCTCCTCTTGGCTGAAGGGAGCCCTGAACTTGAGTTACCCTCTTCCTGATGGGGTTGGCCTGGCTACCATGGAAGAGGGGACACCACCTGTGCCATCCCTTCTGAGGGAAGGTGGCTGGTCAGTGAGGGATGCAGGAAAATAAAATGGACTGAATCTTCAGTGTACCTGTAGAAAAACTGCTGTGTTTGTGCGTTCAGACTGTGCCCAAGTCTGAGCTGTCTACGGAGCTCTGTCTCACTCCAATTCTGGGTGGCTCTAGGGGAGTGAGGATGGATGACGCCAACGGCTGCTTTTTAAGGAGAGGAATGTGACAAGGTGTGAATGGAGTTTCAGATAGCAGCTACTTAAGGGAGATTTCTAAAATTCTGCTTGTCTCCTTTCTTACTGCTGGCTCAAAAGCAAGATGAGCCTTTGAAGAAAGTTGCACCTTTATGTAAATGCTGGTAAGTCTATGGTGTAAGTATTTCCCGCTTTCATTAGCATGTACGGGACAGCAGCCTTAACTGCCAGAAAAGTAGCACCAGAAAATACTGTATTTGAAAAATCAGTGAGCAAGTGTGTACTGCTCATTTTGTGGCACTTTCTGCGTGTAGCACACCTCTTGGGGGTTAATTTCTCTGGTTGTGTGGCATTTTCACTTGCTGGCATAAAGGGAAGTTTTTTTCTTACAGGTACTGTAGAAAGAGTCTAGGGCAAGAAGAGCCACAAACACTATTTTGGGAATTTATTAGCTGGCTCTCTAGTCAATTAAAACAAGAGTGTGCTTTGACCCACCGAGGTACTAATATTCAGGGAGGGAAATGCGTGCTAGGGAGGAGAAAACATGTCCAGCCTCAGCAGGGGGATAAGCTTGTGCTCAGCGGCTGGAATGTCGGGAGGAGAAGCCTGGGGAGAGGTCAGCCCCAGGCACGCTGCCGGTGCCCGGTACCGGCGCCTGGCACCAATGCCAAACGTGGGGGTGTTTCAGTCTGTAGCTGAAACGAGACCTGGAGAAATAGTTCTGAACCAGGTAGGCAGAACGTCAAGTTCACCTGCCAGGCGCAAGCCTTTTTATTTATCCTGCCCTTTCCCCCACCCCCCCCTGCCCCCCCGTTTTTGTTGTTACTGCAGTAAGCACAGAAAAAAACGTTGCATGATACAGCTTGCTCGATCTTTAAACATCGCAGGTCTTCTAAAACTTGCTCCACCCATGTGCAAGTGGAGAGAAGAGCCTTTTAGCATTGTCACTACAAAAATAATAGTATGCAACGTCATGTCCCTTTAAAAAAAAAAAGTGCTTCACATTTTTTTCTGATCTGCGCATGGGTGTATGATAACATTCCAAAAAAAAGTTGCCGAAAGGCAGCTTGTTCTTGCCTAATTTGACATGTTGGAGAAAAAGGACTTGCTTTTTATAGCGACATGTGTATTTCAACAGAAGGTGAAATGACAACTTAGAGGACTTGACTTAGAAGTCTCAGAAACCTCAGTTTTTCTCTTCTTTTTAAAGAAACAAACTCTGAAGAGAGAGATTTTACTGGCAATCGGGACAAGTCGAGGTGCTCAAGTGTGAAAATCTCCTACAGCTGCATTATCTTGATTACTTTTGCTTTAAAATTACTCTTATCTGAGATGCCTAACTTGTAGTGTCAGTCACAGCATTGATTGTGGGTGATGGATAGAAAGTCGTTTCACTTGAGGTACTAATAATATCCTGAAGAACTCTGAAGTTGTTCTGCAGTCAATGTTATTCTTATTCCATTAATAAATATGAAAATATTGTAGGTCATGTGTTTCAAGAAAGACTCATTTAAATAATTTAAATCATCGTTTAAAAAAAAAAAAATTCCTCCTCAGTATCAGCTTTACAAGGGCCTACAGCCATACCTCCTCAAGCTATGATCTCATTGTAGGCTAATCAAGGCTGGGCTTGGCTTGGCTGGTATTTCGGCAGGATTTCCAAGTGAAACCTGGACTGTTGCAAGAAGTTTTGTTGTTGATTTAGTAGATAGAGTTCTTGTCTCCTGAATCAGTGCTGAATTCATGCCCCAGCTGGAGGTGCTCTTTCGAGAGGAAGCAGTATCGGACAGACTCCGAACTTTGTTTCTCTCTATCCCATTGTGCTTTCCTAACATGCTCCTGTCTGTGATAGATGCAAATTTTAATTTGTTTAACCTAGTGATTATTTAAATTTTATAAAGGAATGCTTCTCTATTAATTGGTTGCAAGACTTCTTATAACTTGTATTGATATATTCTTCCAGTATTAAGTGATTACTGTTTTCATTAAGTAATTCTTTGGCTTTAAACGTGTAACTAAAAGCAATATTTAGAAGGAGAATGAATCAAAAAAGACGTTTTCAAACATAAATACTAGTTGCTCCCCTCAGGTTAAGTGTTTGAAGTGAACTGCATTGCTCATAGACAGTAACAATTCTTAAACTTGGCTCTGAGGCTTGACGTCCAGAAAACCAGCATTTGATGGCCATCCTGGGAAAATACTGCCACTTCAACATAAATGCAGACATTTGTGTAAACAGCTGATTTATAAGTTATTAGGAGCCATTGTACTGTGGCTGAGAGAGCATGCTAATATTGGTCTCCATAGCCTGATAAATTTAGTTTCCTTCAGTTTCAGAAAGATAATACATGAAAGTGTATCCACTTGTTTTTATTTTCTAGCCATATTCTCTTGGTCATGAAAACCAAACAAAATTACTGACCTGTATGTGCCATAATTTGAACATGTGTCTTAACCAGGAGTTGAAAAAGAATGTATCAAATAATCTATATTTCTTTTGAAACTTTTAGGGATTTATCATTTGGGACCTTTTCTTTGTGCTGTTAAATTTGATAGGTGAGAAACTTTAGGAAATATTTATATCTTAAAAGGAGTGTTTTGGGATTAGAGTAGGATCATGTAGCAATTTATCTTTTTCCCTGTCAAATATGTTAGAAGTTTTTTTTTCCGTGCTGTAGAAACTGAGTGGCGTTTACCTTTGTGTCTGGCTGGTGCATTTGAGGTCTCAATTATTGAAAGAGACGAGTTGATTTGCTCTGATACAAGATGATACTGTTTTTTACTTAATGATCTCATTGATGAAGGGAATGCTCTCAATTTTAGCACTTTAACGGCTGTTGAATGAGCTCTTTATTATGGCTGTGTACTTACTGGCAGAATGAAGCCCACCACACTCATATGTGATGTAAATGATCTGGCTGTGGAAGCCTGAAGCTTGGGAGAGGGCTTTTTTGACAAGAGCATTCACAGTTGAAGTTGCATTTTAAAGCTATCTTGGGTATTGCTACATGTGATATGTATCTCCAGTTGTGCAGGGAGTTGAAATGAGAGGATGAGTTAAAAGCCTTGTGACTGGAGAAGTTTCAAGTCAGTTCTGGGCTATGTGCTTGGAGGTCAACGGTGTGAGAGCGTGACTTAAGAAGTGGGTGTGCGTGCTTGCAGGCCTGAAATTGCAGTTTGCCTTTGTGCATTTCACACCACATTTTAGGACAGAAATCCTCCTGAGGAGAAGTCGGAATGCTGCATTTAATTCCTCACAACAAGGCAACTTTGCTTCCAAGTTACTTGTTTTGTTTGGTTTTTTTTCTGCTCTGCCTTTTCCTCTTCCAGCTATTTAGGCAAAACCTGTCAAATCTGTCATGACATTTTAGTTTAAAACCAAACATAAACAAAAACATTGGTGTCTGTGGAGTCTGGCAGAGGAATTGGTGTGTTTTGTGGGAATAGTTACTGAAATAGGAGCTAGACAGCGGGATTGCCTATTTGGATGTTTATTAGTCTATTTAAATGACAATTTAAACTTCTCTTGTTACTGTCCCTACTTTTCAATATGAATTTTGGATGCTACCATAAGAATTAGCATAAAAATAAGAGACCTCTAGTTATTGCTTGTGTTGTCAGAGGATCGCCACTAACACCATTTATTACCTAGTGAACCATCCTGCTTGTGTTTTTGTTGTTTGGTTTTGGTTTGTTTTTTTTGAAGAGGAAAAAAGTGTGGGCTTGTGGGGTGTTTATGCATATGCTACATAGCTTTCCTCAACAGACTGTATATTTTTTTTACTGCAGAGCTTGATTCATTGTGTTCTCCCACTTAATGAATATTTAAAGTATGCGAGGATGGAAAGAACAAGGTAAATGGGAAATGAAACCTAGTCATGAATAGATTGGAGAAAGCAACAGTGTAGTAGTAACCAAGCCAATGTCGCATCACATGTGAGCTTTTTTTCTTCTTGAGGAAAGCCATTTGCATTTAGTCTTCCTGTGCATTTGTAATCTATACAGAAAAGACTTAATATGTATATGGATTTAATTCTGTGGGTTATTTTATTATGGATGTTTGAGACAGGACCCAGCCATTAAGCAGATTTTTAACTTGCTCTACGTTTAAGAGATACAGTGCATGAATAGTTTCCCAAAGAGGCAGAGTAAACGTTGATGTGGTTGAGACTTCATCCGTTTAGTCTACGCAGACTTGCTTTCTATTGTCTGTAGTTTGAAGCTGTTTGATACAAGGTCCATCAAAGGTCTTTTTAATATATACATAAAGAAAAATAGTGGTGCCTCTGTAAAATTTATGAAAGTCTTTCTGTTTTTTTTTTTTTTGTTTTGTGAGGGATTTTGTTGGGGTTTTTATGGCTTATCTTTAACTTAACAAACTTTCTAATTCCACATAACCTTTAACAAACTGAAAATAATGTGTTATGCAGCAGGTATGCTGTGCTATCCCCCCCACCCCTTCCCAAGAATATTATTACCACTCTGGTGGTGAGTTTTTAGGAATTCTAATTTTAGTACTGCCTGTAACTTCACAGATATGCTCCTTTACAAGCAAGATGAATGGAAGGTTTATGGAATTGGTAACTGAATACATTTTGTTTAAGCACATTCATTCAGTGGTAGGAATTATCTGCAAAGTTTTGAACTGTAGCCGGTTTTTAAATTCAACTTGATGTACTTGTAGAATGTGTTTGTATCCTTCATATATGCTTTGCCAAGCAGCAGACTTTTGGTGGTGTTCACCCAGACTTTAGCAAGGTATTTAACAGAAGTAGGGTAAGATGTGACTTAAGCGCTCTGAATTGCCTTCTGAAGTGCCTACTATTTGCTATCAGCTGTGTGAGAAGCTGAGGAAACCCATGGTTCCTCAACACATACCTAGATGCCTACATAGGTACCTGTAGTAAGATGAAATATACTTGAGAAAGATTGTCTGTGTTTTTGCAATGTGTGTGGCTCTGTCTAAAACTGCTGGGAAATTCTTTATTTCTGATTGTGCTTTGTGTCTGAACATGACAAGAATGTAGCTTTTCAGTTTGATTGGTCAAGCTAATCAGGGGAGTCGTAACCTACGAAGGACCACGATGAGTGTGAAGTTAGGAGAGAACTCCATTCCCCTCCTTGTAAGTTAATGCAGTATGAGTATCCAGTCTGTAGTTAATTCAGGGCATTCTTGGTAAGTACGAGTCAGGTCACAAAGGTAAGAGAGTGGATTCTGCAACATTAAAAAGTTCTTGGGGGATCTTTTTTGCAGCCTTTGTGGGTACCTGAGTGTGACTGTGGTGTGCCAGACTCCCCAAGGCAGAAAGGGGCAGACGTTTGGTAAATTCTGGAAACGCAGCAAAATGCTGCTTGGAGAAACTGAATAGCTTTTGTCAGGTAGAGAATTCTTGGGTTGGCTCTTAAAGCAGAAACAGATGGAGCAGAGTGTTTGATGATAGAAAAGAGGTGCTAATTTCAGAGTTCTTCTGAACCCCGATGAAACAGCAAAGCCAACTGAACAGTTTAAACTGCTTAGCAAAGGCTGAGTGGCACTGGCACTGGGGGGAAGGATTCCATTCTGTGTGGGGTAAGGCAGGAGAAGTACAGGGACACAGGGCATGAAGCCTTCCCCTCCTCTGTCCCTGTACTTCTCTGCTCCTGCCTTACCCCATATGGAAAGGAAGCCTTCCCCTTTGTCACCAGCACTGCTTTCTCCTCCTTTAAATCTCTCTCTTAATTTCTAAATTA